TCCCTTCCTTTCTAATGGGCTATCAAGCTTGTCTCGGTCGTTACTAGTTAATCTTTGCGCTTGCTTTTTAGACATTGTCCTCGTTTTGCAGGAGTTTTAGTCATATCTCCGTCGTTTATGGGTAGTTTCCCCTGTAATTACTCTCATTGGTTCCGTTTGGGGGACATCTACATTTCCTATTATAAACACGACTTTGACTTTTGCATTAGTTCCTGAGGAATCTTTGTTCCGTGGTACTTCCATCCTTGCTACGTGTGCGGACGTGGGAAAGTAGTTTCCGTGGAGGTTCTCTGATTATTTTTATAGTCAAATCTTGGTCGATTGTCCTAATTCTTGGTTTAATATTTGCTATAAATTCCCCCGAGAATTCCGTCTCGTTGATGGTAAGCTTGAAGTATTTTTGTTATTTTTCTTTCTTTTGATTTATCGTGTATAGTCATAATAATTCGTAAAAATTCGTAAAATTCGTTAAAACTCAGGTCCTTCTATGTTCTCATATCTACTTGTCGTATGAGGTTTTGTGATTTATCTGGCATATTTCCATAATGGGTTTCCATAGTGTGGCTGTTATTTCTCCTACAACGTCCGTGCCCTAACTTACTGACTGGCAATTAGAACCTAGGGGGGGTAACTCTAGTTGATTTTTCTACTGGGGCGTAACCTGTGTACAAGTGGGATATATATATGGTTACAACGGAGACGGTTTCCGCAATTGGCGGAGCCAACGGAGCGGAGCTAACGGGGTTTAACTATTAGCTGACTGAATATTACCGATGAGTCGGTTCGCGGGGTTAGCGGAAAGGCAGGCGATAACCCAGAAACGGAAAGGAGGGATAAGCCCGAAGGTGGGCTCTGCAGGGCAGGTGAGTGTATTGCCCAGCGGAGGCGGGGGTGCGCTAGCGGACGTCGGAGCTGTCCGGAAGTCTTCGGGGCTCTGTACTTAGGGAGGCATAGGTAATAAATTGAAATGAGGGGGTGGTGACCATCGAGGGGTACCGAGAGGTTTGCGGAATACGGGGGCTCCGAGGTTGGTGAGGGAGGAGCGGAGTTAGAACGGAGGGAACGGAGGGACCGGAAGTCGATGGCCGGGGATGGATATGACAGGGACAGCGGTGGAAGGTCGTAACTTGGCGGGGGGTCGGCGGAAGAGTACCAGAGGGAGGAGAGAGGAAGGTAAGAGAGAAGGAGTGGCAGGAAGGAGAGTAGTCAGGTCCGAAGGTGAGTATCGGAGCGGACAGTGGAAGCGTAGGGGGGTGACAGAAGGGTGGCGGTGTTGTGAAGGAGGAGCGGAGTAGGAGGAGGAGGAGTAGTAGGAGGGTGGCGAGAGGGGCGGTGTTCGGTCCGAGGTGAGTATCGGAGCGGACGGAGATAGGGGAGGAGAGGGAAGGAGGAGTAGAGGTGGCATGGGGGGTGGAAGGAGGCGTGTTGCCAGGACCGAGGGTGAGTATCGGAACGGGCAGCTGTAGGGTATGCCTCTGGAGGTGGGGAAGGAGGAGGTCCTGGAGTCGGGTTGGGATCGGGTATGCACGGATATGACAATATGGGAGCTCCGAGGTTAGTGAAGAAGGAGCAGAGGTAGACTGGAGGGATCAGAGGGAGTGGAAGTCGATGGCTGGGGATGGATATGACAACATCTTCCCCTGTAGTCCCCTGCTCATTCATAGATGGGCCTAGGCCTTACCATTCAGTTGATTTCTAATCCTCCCACTCCACAAACCTCAGACGTAATTCAGGCTTTTCGCCTAGTCTATATTTGTCCTGTGGATTCCTTCCTATTTACTTCCTCTTCCCCTTGGTAACCTTTGTTTACCTTCGGATCCAATCGTCTTGACTACATGTACGTGTGTACCCCTCTAGTAAATAGTTCCCCCCAGTTATAATATTAAGTCTTCGAATCCAAAACCTCTCCCAGGACATCTCTCACATTCTACTTGTCTGCTACTCCACCTGAACCAAGAACTGAGTGACAGACATGTCTAAAGGCACCTTGGTATAATACCCAATGAATTGCGTGACGAACGATTGACCCTCGCTAATGCCTTCATCATTAAGTAGTGAGGGGGGGCTTCTGGCCCCCTTCTGCTGGTGGCCTCTGTTCCTCTGTCACCAGCCCCCCTGACGAATTGGGGACAATGAGGACGTAACGGGCACAGCACTCCATTCTGACTCGCTGAAGCCGAGTCCCTTCAACACCCTGTCACCCTTGGAGCTCCACCCCACCTCCGGTCTGTCTCCGACCCACCGTTGGATGACCTGGAACCTCAAGCTCCATCAGACACACCCACCTGGGTAGTGCTCCAGACATTTCCCAGGTGGGTTTGTGACAGCAAGTGGGAGTCAGGAATGGCTAGCTGACTGAATGGAAAGGAAGCAGCAGCCCAAATAGGAATGAGGGAGAATAGCGGAATTGAAATGGACAATGCAATAGTTGCAAGGTCCGGAGTAAGTCCGGAAAGTCCGAACTCGGAGGTTAAACTCCGGAATATTGGCAAAGGTAATTAAATGGAATGAGCTAACCAATACAATGAGTATAAGCGGAGGTGGGGTCAAAGTCTGAGGTCGGAGCTAAGACCGGAGGTTCCGAGACGAGACGTGAACGGGATACCGGAGCGGAGGTCCGGAGTCAGGAGCATAGGTTTTGCATACTCGTCTGGAAGGTGTCGAGGTTGGGGTCGGACCCGGAATGTTCCGGAGTCGGACCGAAGGTGGTGTCTGAGCCGGAGGTGGGATAACCTCTTGGGAGTCGGCAAGGAGAAGGTGACGGAAGGGAAGTAGGGCTCCGGAAGTGGGAGTTTGGAGTTCCAGGAGCCCGGAGCGGAGGTCGGGATTGTATGGATATGACACCTTCCAGATGAGCACGCAACACCTATGCTCCCGACTCCGGACCTCCGCTCTGGAATCCCATTCACGTCTCCATCTCTGGAACCTCCAGTCTTAGCTCCGACCTCAGACTTTGACCCCACCTCCGCTTATACCCATTGTATTGGTTAGCTCATTCCATTTAATTACCTTTGCCAATATTCTGGAGTTTAACCTCCGAGTTTGGACTTTCCGGACTTACTTCGGACCTTGCAACTATTGCATTGCTCCATTCAATTCCGCTATTCTCCCTCATTCCTATTTGGGCTGCTGCTTCCTTTCTATCCAGTCAGCTAGCCATTCCCCACTCCCATCCTCCTTCCTTCCTCCTTGGGCCTTGGCTGTCAGAGACCAGATTCGAGACGAAGGAATGTCTCCGTAACGGAGGGCTTCGGCCTCAGCGACTTCTGCCAAGAGCGCTGTGCCTAGTGACACGTCTGTGCCCTAACTTACTGACTGGCAATTAGAACCTAGGGGGTAACTCTAGTTGATTTTTTCTACTGGGGCGTAACCTATGTACAAGTGGGATATATATATGGTTACAGCGGGGACGGGTCCGCAATTGGCGGAGCGGAACGGAGTGGAGCTAACGGGGTTTAAGCATTAGCCGACTGAATATTACCGATGAGTCGGTTCGCAGGGTTAGCGGAAAGGCAGGCGTTAACCCAGAAACGGAAAGGAGGGATAGGCCTGAAGGTGGGCTCTGCAGGGCAGGCGAGTGTATTGCCCAGCGGAGGCGGGGGTGCGCTAGCGGACGTCGGAGCTGTCCGGAAGTCCTCGGGGCTCCGTACTTAGGGAGGCATAGGTAATAAATTGGAATGAGGGGGTGGTGACCATCGAGGGGTACCGAGAGGATTGCGGAATACGGGGGCTCCGAGGTTAGTGAGGGAGGAACGGAGTTGGACCGGAGGGATCGGAGGAACCGGAAGTCGATGGCCGGGGATGGATATGACATTGGCCCTTCACTCCTCCTTTGGGAAACACCATTGAGTCAAACCCTTGACCCTCGGTGTTGTTCCTCCTTCCAGCTCCCTTTGTCTCCTTTCAGAATACCCTTGCTCCTTTTGATTCCGGACCCCTCCTTATATACAATGTACATAGTAACTTGTAACCTCAGTATGAAATCGACTTGATTCCCCCCCAAGAGACTTCCCCTCTGCTAGATCTGAAATTAGGGACCCCTAGGACAACCAGCAATGGCACAGCGCTCCACCTGAGTCACTGAGGCCGAGGTCCTTCCCCACTAAGTCTCCAATTCCATTCCGGAGTTGTCTGAATCCGCCTGATCTAACACTACTTACCCATCATGATCTGATTCCATGATCTATGATCCCTCAGATTCCATGTTCCATGTTCTGTGATCCATCATCCAGCACAGCCAGACAAACCTGGATCATTGATTGTTGGTATGTACAGTGCCTTGTAGATTAGCTGTGTGTGTGGGCTACAGTATATTACACCCTGAGTAGCGAGTAGGAAGACCAGCTTTCTTCTCTCATTTCCCCTCGCTGCTCAGCTGGAGCCTTTGTTGTCTAATGTACCTCATGGTTCTCCTATTGAGACCGACCCAAACCCTTCCAGTCTCCCCTCTACATCTACTGGATCCTTCAACCTTAGCTCCAAGCAGCTTGGTACCCTGACAACTGGAGGTTATGGTGGAGGTGAGGGAGAAGACAAACTGGAGGTGAACCAGAATGGTGGCGGAGTAGATCAGAGGTTGGGCAGAGTTGGTATGGATATGACAACTGCTTTCTCACTGCAATGAACAAATTAGATATTAAATTCTGGGCAGAGAACCGTGAGAAACGTTCTATATGGCCTGCTGCATATCTACTTGGGGCAATGGATCTTATCCCACTACCCAAAACTCGCAAGGATGCTCTCTCGAAATTACTCGTCAATGGACACACAAATTATTTACCAGACAATTCCACAATTGTGCTGGATGCCCTCATTGATGGCAAGGGCTGAAATGATCAGGTGTCCTTGTGAGTACCTGATGATTGTGCGTTATTTCTTGTTTACATCTGTTCCAACCTCAGCTTTCTACAGGGGATCATGTATTGTCTTTGAATGGCAGCATCTGCAAATGCATTCAAAACTATCTTACTCATAACCCAGCAACATCAAATGCACCAACCATGCTAGCCGATATCATCAGTTGGGTCAAAGGCATGATCACTCAGCCTTCTACCTCATCTGGCACTGCCACTCATACTGCATCATCAACCAATGGACCCGATGTGAAGACAACCGGCAAACCCTCTGGAGCCAAGCTCCGCTTTGGTGAGTCAAACTGATTCTCATTAGCAACTATATAATTATACAACACAACTCCCAGGCCTTCAAATCGACCTACCCCTCCACACCATGGACCCTTCCAAGGACACAGTTTCCTGTGTCTTGGATGTCCCCGAGTCCTGGACTCCCAAACACGTGCTATTGACGATCGCTGTTAGAACTGTCGGATTCGGACGACTCCGGAGTGGAATCGGAGACTTAGCATGGAAGGACCTCGGCCTCAGCGACTCAGGTGGAGCGCTGTGCCATTGCTGGTTGTCCTGGGGGTCCCTAATTTCGGATCTAGCAGAGGGAAAGTCTCTTGGGGGAATTCAAGTCGATTTCGGACTGAGGTTACAAGTTACTATGTACATTGGATGTAAGGAGGGGTCCGGAATCAAAAGGAACAAGGGTACTCTGAAAGGAGACAAAGGGAGCTGAAAGGAGGGTCAACACCAAGGGTCAAGGGTTTGACTCAATGGTGTTTCCCAATGGAGGAATGAAGGGCCAAGGCCCAAGGAGGAAGGAAGGAGGATGGGAGTGGGGAATGGCCAGCTGACTGAATAGAAAGGAAGCAGCAGCCCAAATAGGAATGAGGGAGTATAGCGGAATTGAATGGAACAATGCAATAGTTGCAAGGTCCGACATAAGTCCAGAAAGTCCAAACTCGGAAGTTAAACTCCGGAATATTGGCAAACATAATTAAATGGAATGAGCTAACCAATACAATGGGTATAAGCGGAGGTGGGGTCAAAGTCCGAGGTCGGAGCTAAGACCGGAGGTTCCAGAGACAGAGATGCGAAACGGGATTCCGGAGCGGAGGTCCGGAGTCAGGGGCATAGGTGTTGCATGCTTGTCTGGGAGGTGTTGAGGTTGAGGTCAGACCCGGAATGTTCTGGAGTCGGACCGAAGGTGGTGTTGGAGCCGGAGGTGGGATAACCTCTTGGGAGTCGGCAAGGAGAAGGTGATGGAAGGGAAGTAGGGCTCCGGAATCAGTTTCGGAGTTCCGGGAGCCCGGAGTGGAGGTCGGGATTGTATGGATATGACAATCGCATCTGAGATGGGTGTGAACCTTGAAGTTCACAGAATCGCATATAAAACATCTAAAATGAAGGTAAGGGATGACCCTGTCCCCATTGACTGTGCAGGTACCCTTGCAGCCAGCCTGGAGCACCAGCACCGCATTCAGTCCCGCACTTTCAAGCAAAAGCGCCTGAAGATCATCAACCTTGTAAGTCATTTATTTTCAATTCCATACGATTACTCAGTAATCAATCCCTAGTCCGCTGTCGCTAAAACTACGAAAAAGGCCAAGGGAAAGAAATCATCTACTGACTCTAAAGCTGGCCCAGCCACTGCCTTGCGTTCAGAGAAATTCCTGCCAACTCTTAGAAGCCACTCTGTGCAGTAGGCATTCTTGTCACTGTTACCCCCACCCAAAGGCAGAATGGGGCCATCTGCATTTGTCAAATGAGGCCCTCAGTCTATGGGCTAACTGTCTGGTATGCCTCGCATTTTTTATCTATCTTCCTTTCCAACCATTCATACTTATTCTATCAATTACATCTTATTCGTATATTCAGAGCGAAGGTAGGGCAGGTGTAATGTTGGACAGGCCACCCCATCACAACCTATTTGACCCATCACACATCAAATGTGGGAAACTGTAAGCATTGTTAAGGTTGAGTTCGTGAGTGATCTTGCGATAGTCAAGTGTTGCCTCACACTCCCAGTCCATCAGATATATGCTGTATGTAGCTATATTATCAACAGGGGAGTAAAGGCTTTTTCTTCCTCTATCCCCTCTCATGTAGGTTATATACAAGATTGTAAATACATGTGATTAATGCAGCTTGGGACCGCATGGTGAAATGAAGGTATTGCATCGGGTACAAACCCGACATGATAAATAAGGAATGAATAGGGAGGGCCATGAGTACATGGCCTATCTCCCTTACAGAAATGCCCTCAGTCCCACTCGCCCCCTCACACTTTCAAATGTGCAAAGATCAGCCAGTCCTGTGATGTCACCTCAGCAACTGCGAAAAAATACTCTCGGTCTCTCTCACCCCTTTGCAACCCCAAACACATGAAGACTGCTGAGTCACCCCACGTTGACTCACCTGCTGGCCCAACCCCGGGGCCCAGTACCTTCAAGATCACTTCATCTTCACCTGCCACCCCAACCCCGAAGCCAAGGACACTCAAGGTCACCATCAACTCAGCAAGATTGAGCATACCAATCCATGCCCTGCTCATCGACATATCCTCATCGTTGCCTGTCATCGCACCATCATCACCCACTCATGGTCAACGCCAAGTCAAACTCAATCGCCATTCAACAACTGTCATTGACATCTGTCATATCCATCCCTGGCCATCGACTTCCGATCCCTCCGATCCCTCTGATCCACTTCCGCTCCTTCCTCACTAACCTCGGAGCTCCCGTATTCCGCAATCCCCTCAGTACCCCTCGATGGTCACCACCCCCTCCTTTCAATTTATTACCTACGCCTCCCTAAATACGGAGCCCCGAAGGCTTCCGGACAGCTCCGACGTCCGCTAGCGCACTCCTGCCTCCACTGGGCAATACACTTGCTTGCCCTGCAAGCTCACCTTCGGGCCTATCCCTCCTTTCCATTTCTGGGTTATCGCCTGCCTTTCCGCTAACCCCATAACCCGACTCGTTGGTAATATTCAATCGGCTAATGTCTAAACCCCGTTAGCTCTGCTCTGCCATTTGCAGACCCGCCCTTGCTGTAACTATATATACTACACTTGTACATAGGTTACACTCCAGTAATAAAATCGACTAGAGTTTACCCTCTTCAGTTCTGGTGGCCAGTTAGTAAGTTAGGGCACGGACATGTTTACTAGGCACAGTGCTCCTGGCATAAGTCGCTGAGGCCGAAGCCCTCCATCACGGAGACACTCCTTCGTCTCGACCCGGTCTCTGACAACATCACATCGTCACTGTTGTGCACTCGTGGTCAATGTCAGGTCAAACACCAGGTCAAGCACAACTTCCATTCGATAACTATTGTTGACATCCCATCATCACCAACTGATCACCTTTCACGCAAGCATGTCAACTTGTCAGGGACAGCTCTGAAAGCAGCGAAGTGTCACAACCGACAAATCCCGGGGCTCTGTCAGTGGCGAATCGATGCTGATAGGCGAATCCGCCGACCCGAAACCCAATCTAACCAGCCCCCAATCCGATGTCTGGCCCCCTGCCCTATCAACCATGCACTGCATCCAGACCTCCACCCACATCCGGACTTCTGCCCACATCCGGACCTCCACCCACATCTGTACCTCTGCCCACCTCCACACCCTCTGGACCTCTGCCACTCCTGGTTGCCCTCCACACCCTGTGGTCAGGCCAACACCCCCCTCCGACCTTGCTGGCCATCATGCTGCCCTTGTTTGTGACAGCACTGATGGACCACCCTCTGTTGCGGACTTGTCAGCACCGCGCTGATTTCCATGTCCCTTCACGGACTTGTGTCGGCACCGCACCGACCCCGCTTATTTGCGGACTTGTATCGGCGCCGTGCGCTGACCTCCACTTTTCTCTGGCCATCTTGTCACTCGGCAGCATACCATTCATTCCTTGCTGAGTGCCTGTATTGTTCATCCATTCATTCGCTTAACTTGCCAATATTGGCACTTGATCCATGTGCTGATGCACTTCTTATTACCTGTCAATATTGGCACTTGATCCGCTTTTGTTTAGTTCATTGCCTCCCATTTCCCGGGCTCTTGTCCTTCATTCAGTTTGACAATCCCCGCTTATTTCCGCACCGGACCGTGCTGGACTGACTGGTCCTTCTGTGTTTCCCTCCTGCCTATTTATATCCTGTAAATACTTTTGGGGACCTTAGTCTGAAATCAACTAGAGTACCCCCCTGTCTGGTCTGAGTCCCTCCTTCTGCAAAGGGGGCTTCCCCCCCTCTGAGTCCGTGCTTGCAGAGTCCACGCTCCTCCTACAGGTCCACTCCGCCTGCAAGTCTTGTTTGAAGTCCGCTGTGAGTGTCAATCCATAAATATGGGATCTCCCCCAAACGTCAGGCTCAGGGCACAGCGCTCCACCTGAGTCGCTGAGGCCGCGATCCCACTCTGCTAACCTTGAACAGCGCTTCCGGACACGCCACATATTTCCACCCGCATATCCGCGCGTGCGTGCTCCAACAGACCTCTGCCACAATCTCCGACTCCGACAATAATCCAGTCTCTGACAATAAATCCTGTCTCTGACATGAAGTCCCAGTGCGGGGGACTCGATGGGATGAGAAGCGGCTATGCGTAGCAGTGGTCCCATCACGGGGTGAGCGTCCCCGACCACTTGGTCTGAAGTGGGAATGTGAGAAGAAGGCTACTTCTTCAGTTCCCACTCCAGCTGTTATTATCTACATGTGGGATCAATCACGTGGGGTGCACCACATCACCCTTGCATACAGCCATGGCTCTCCGGGTGTTTCCATGGGATATCCCAAGAGGGTCTGCTGTAGGTGTGAGGTGAGCATGGTGGCAGTGGCAGCAATATAGGGATGGTAGGTACAGGAGGGGGATGTGGCATGCACACCGGTGATACATTGAACAGCAGGAAAGGTGGTCCATATAAGAGAAGGAAAGAAAGAAAGAAGAAAGAAAGAAGAAGCGGTGCGGCGTGGGGGGCAGCGGAGCGAGGGTCGGGCAGGGCATGTTGGGGCGTGCCCTGACATCACCCCCTCCTTAAGCCGCTTTGCCTCGAAGTGGCTGGGCGGCCTTCTCTTTCTCTCCCTGGGGTGTGGGGGTGTGTCCAATGGAAGTCTTCCACTAGGTTGGGGGCATGGGTCAGGTGGTCATGCACGAGCCACTGGTTCTCTGAGTTTGTGTGAGGTCTTAGGGTTGCTCAGCACACAAGGCCGTAAGTGATACAAGATGGTGTATTTTACGGTGGTGTGTAAGCGGTTACCCAGAGGTTCCCGCTTGTCCACGTGACTATATGTATCTAGTTTACATGTGACTCGGGGTTCGGGGCTATTGCCCTGACATTCTCCCCCCTTGCGTTGCATTTGCGACGCATACAAGGTTGATAGTGAATAGAAACAGAGTTTTAATAGTTGATTTACATTGAGTTTGGAATTATCAATGAGTGTTTCTGTTGTCGCCACTTTAAAGTGGGTGATTTTGTACATGTTGGTGAAAGGAAGAGAGGGGGTTTAAGAAGTGAATGAGTGTGGGCCGTTACTTTGAAGTGAACGGCGATACATTGGTATCGCAGGGAGAGAAGAAAGAAGTGGTGGAGTTTGTCGAAAATGGATTTCGACCCAAAGGTTGTATGTCTTTGGTGTTCCTCACTTGTTCTGTGAGGGTTCGTGTGTAAGTGGTGTTTACACACAAGCGGTGGTGGGTGTGGGTCTTTTGACGGAGTGGAGATTTCCGCAATTGTTACTTGCGGTTCCTCGCATACAGTATTGTGTGCGGGGCCTCGAGTTGGGGGGAGGTGTTTTCACGGGCGCCTCGGTGGCGTATTACCGTGTCACTCTCCCTTCTCTCAAGGGTGGATTCATTGCCCCGGAGGAGGGTTTTCCTCCGGGTTGTTCATCTGGACATCCGATTGCTGCATCGGATGCGATGACGTAGCCTGGGCTACATTGTTGGGCTGTGGGCTCGACGAAGTGGGTGCTCCCTGGGTGGGAGCGGGTTGTTGTGTTCCTGAGCTGCTTGGCTCAGGTGTAGAGTACGGTAGGTTTACCGTTCTTCCCGTGGGGAAGGATGGTTGTTGGGCTGGTTGTCCAGCTCGGAGGCTTGCGTCTCTTTCCCGGTATTTGGAAGCTTTCGCTTCCCGTTCCGTCGTTCTTGCAGCACGTTCCTCAGGAGTCCTGAGTGGTTTGAACTGGGACTTTAAGTAGGCAGCTTTGCCTAGACTTTCCCAGGAGATTTTTCCCTTGTTCTCCGGGGAATTATATTCCTCTGTGAGTCTTGCGATACTTGGGAGTCCCAAGAAGTATTTCTCGGTTTCCTTCGCTTTTTCGCGAAGGGTTCTGTGTACCTTGCCGCTTTTGAAGGCGGCTTCAGCCTGTTTGTACCAGTGTACGAATTCTTTCCCACTCACGCTTGTCCACCAAGCATATGCAGCATCATGCGCCGCTTCTGACCCCACTATTCTCCTCATGGGGAAGTTGGGGTCGATTGTTATGTCGACTGGAGCTTCGACTTTGCCGAACTCGTTGAGTTCGGCGGTCTCGTATAGCATGTGGACACTTCCCTGCAGGGTAGCTTGCCCATAGGGTGCTGAGGTACTCAGTGGCCCGCCGCCTCTGGCAGTGGTCCCCGTTTTAGGGTCTGCCGTCGGTTGCCTACCGCTCTCCCTCTTCCCCTCGACATGGGTTTGCCCCTCTGAGGGCGGGCCCTTATGCAACC